TCCTGCTTTTGGTTAACACAGCTTGACGAGAAAAAGGGAGTGCTTAGTTTGATGCAAGGGATCTCACTGCTAATGCAAACATGGCAGAATCATTGTCCTGTGAGGCTGAGATTGCACAGGGATCTAAATCACGCTCCCAAAATGATTATCATGCAGCCCTATCTAGCACCTGGTCAATCAGCAGGGATGTGTGTGCTCTCCCCACTGCTCTTCTCCCTCTACACTAATAACAGCACTTGAGGGGGCACCCCCGTGTTAAGCTTCTTACATTTGCAGATGATACAGTGTTCATTAAGCATTAAGCAAGTGACGTGATTGCAGAAAAGCGATCATCAGCTCCTGTGGTTAAATAACAGTGTAGAGCACAGTTTATTCTGTATCAGTGGCAAAAATTTAATCTTGCTATAGAGATTTTTAGCTTTAAATATTTTGTATTTTTTATGTGGGCTTCTTGATGTATGCAAACTCTACCCAAAGAAACTCCAGAGGCACTGCAAGAATATCAACTCAAAAGCTACTGTCAATTCTAAACTTTTTTTGTGTGTGTGTGCTTTAGGACCTCAATAAGCGTCTGTCACTGCCTGCTGACATCCGAATTCCTGATGGTTACCTGGAGAAGCTGCAGCTCAGCAGTCCACCCTTTGACCAGCCACTTAGCCGACGCTCCCGCCGAGCTTCGCTGGTCAGTGTCTCAGTGTATGTATGTGCACACTTGTGTTTGTGTACCAGGTATGTGTGGTACCTGTTATTACTTTGTGGTGCTTGCAGTCCTTTTACTAGACTCCCTCTCTACTGGTTACTATGGTAACTGGTCTAATATGAGCCTAGGAAGGATTAATCTGGAACTCTCACCCTGTGCCTTTAGCCCATCAAATTAGATCATAATACTCAGCTATGGTGTCATGATGTGGCTTTGTTGCAGATATCTGGTGGCAAGGCTTATGTGCAGTTAAGTTCAGGCTCATGCTTAAAAGGTTATTGATACAAAATGGACAGTTTTTGTTTATTCTGAAGGCTACTTTATTTAAGTAGCTGCAGTACTGACGATTCATTTAGCACTTGTTTCTCCAGCTCCAGATATTTCTAGTAGCTGTCACGTCTTCTGAAACAAATAGCAAGTGAGCCTGGAGCTCCTTTTTTGCACCATCATTCAACACTCACACAGGGAGGAAGCCATCACAGAAGAGGTGCAGAGACCAACTGAGCACAATGCAACACATTCACATAATGTTTTGAGTTTATCTTAAAGGTAGGGTTGGCAATCCTGAAAAAACCAGCAAGAGTAAGCTTGATTTTCCAAGTAGGCAAATGAAATCCCACCCTTCCGTTCTGACTTCTCTCCAAAACCACTCCTCCAGAACACTATGTGCACTGCAATGCAGTGTTATTTGTAACTTTCTTGAATACAGTGTTACCCGCCCACATCTGCAGCCACAAGCCGTAGTTGGGGACCTTTGATTCATGGCTAAACTGTTTTAGCCCTGGCTCATAGCTAGTAACTAGCCTTAGAATTCCAGGCTTTTCCAATGGGGAGAAGTGAAGAGGGAGGCCAGCTAACTCTGTTCAAAACACAGGCTTTAATTCTGTCTTGGTAACACGAACACAGCATGTGGCCTTGATGCACAGTTAACTGCATTACAATCCTATTTAAACATTTAAAGCTGACTGCTGTTGGTATTTTCCCCACCCATGGCTGCATGTAAAAGGAGTCTGTTCCATACAGCAGTCTTCTTGTTCTCATACTCCTCACTGCATTTCTGGCAACAACAACAACATTTCCTATAAGGCTATATGTCTTAAAGGGGAAGGCCTGATCTGTAACAACACTTGGTGAACAAAAGCTGCTGTGGGTACTTTCTCTGCCTTGGCTTGCTAGCTTTAGCTATCAAAAAAACACATCTTCCTGCCTGGCCTTGTGGGAGATTCTTGGCTCATGCAAAGACAAGTTATGCGAAAGTAGGAAGTAGGTTGACAGGCAGGTAGGCCATCCAGTGGTTTTACTTGTGCCGAGTAAAATTATTGGTTAGGCTTTTTTCAACCCTGCTGCTGCCAGGGATGACAGATTTGTTTCTTTATGTTGCCAGTGCATTTAATGTATTCATTGTCATGGATGAAAGGAGAATGTCAAATATGTAACAAAAAATGCTTTTGAAAAGAATCGCCAACCCTACCTTGAAGTGTGAGCCAAAGGTTTGTGTAGCTTCAGTTCCTGACTGGATGAAACTAAACCTGTTGAAATAAGCTTGACAATTTAGATTGCAAACACTGAATCCAAAATTGGATAAAGCATGAAATCATGTCTTAAAAATGTACCTGTAATGTAATTTATGCTTAATTCAGACTTTTCTGTGTCTTTCACTCAGTCGGAGATTGGCTTTGGGAAGCTGGAGACATACATTAAGCTGGACAAGCTGGGAGAGGTGAGGAAAGCTTGAAATCCCATCTGGTGCACCAGTAACACTGCACTCAGAGAGTGCAGTCTCCACTATGGGGCAAGTCTGTTTCCCCATAATTCCATAAAAGTAATATTGTCATGATAGGTTTGACCCCCCTAATATGATTGCTTGACCATGAAAACCTACTGTTGGCATTTGGAATGACACTGGTATCATTATTAGTTTGAAAGTTATTCAAGAATGATAGACATGACAGACATCCACTTGTTGGTTTAGGGGTAAAACAGGGACTTAAGTGTGTGGATCGCTGGCAGAGTGGTGAAGACGTCACACTCGGCTTGTTCAACAGCTGTTTGATAAACCCCTCATACAGTCTCCATTACTGGCTGATTATTGAACTGTAAAGTGATACTTCACGTCCTTTGCTCCCCCTCTGCTCAGCTGTGAGTGTGTGTCTCCTCTATACAGAGACTGACACTGAAAAATACAGTGGAAAAGCAAAGCACCACGGTCCACATCAATTCATGATGTTATGCCGGTTGACGATTAAGGGAAGCACGGGGTGTACCGCTGCATAGGTACTGTCAGTGGAAACTGCAGCTGGAACACTGGCGTCTTCGCTGACAGACTAGTACTCTGAACGAGATGTAGCTGCCTCTTAACAGACTCACATAATGAGCACTCACAAAGTTTTCTTTCTCATGGGAATAGAGCAGAGGGACAGGCTAGGGTTATTATATCAAAGGATTATATTAGGCTTTCCTTAGCAATAGGTCAGACCAGCACCACCACAGGTTAGGTATGACACATCAAAAGGTTTTTATTAGGTCTGACAACCAGCACACAGGTATATGCCAGGTATAGGCTGATGTTTTCTAAAGACTGATAGTTGTAATATCCCATGGTTTTTAAATTAAAAAACCTCAAATAATCTACTTTACCCTGTAAAAATAATGTAATACAAACATTACCCCTCTGGAGAAACATGGAAAAATAGATGTTAAAAAACAATTGTGTAATCTTTGCTCCTCCTGATGTGTTAAGTCAGTGCAGCATCTCCTGCTACTTTCAAATCTTGGAAACAAAGTTGATTAACCCAGGAGCTCTCGGTTGTGTCTGTACAACATCTAGGATAGATGGAGAAATCAAAACCGTGCAAAACGATGGTACATGCCCTGGGATGCTCCTACAGAGCGGTATTGTGGTGTGAATTTGGAGGACCGATGGTAACCCGACTGTGAGGCACCGGGGGGGCCGGGGAGAGATCATCTGATTGCTGCTGATTTGTTGATAATTTTTTGTGAAGAATCAACAACAAGTGGGACACAATCATGAAGTGGAATGAAATTTATTGGATATTTCAAACTTTTTTAACAAATAAAAAACTGAATAATTGGGCGTGCAAAATTATTCAGCCCCTTTACTTTCAGTGCAGCAAACTCTCTCCAGAAGTTCAGTGAGGATCTCTGAATGATCCAATGTTGACCTAAATGACTAATGATGATAAATAGAATCCACCTGTGTGTAATCAAGTCTCCGTATAAATGCACCTGCACTGTGATAGTCTCAGAGGTCCGTTTAAAGCGCAGAGAGCATCATGAAGAACAAGGAACACACCAGGCAGGTCCGAGATACTGTTGTGGAGAAGTTTAAAGCCGGATTTGGATACAAAAAGATTTCCCAAGCTTTAAACATCCCAAGGAGCACTGTGCAAGCGATAATATTGAAATGGAAGGAGTATCAGACCACTGCAAATCTACCAAGACCTGGCCGTCCCTCTAAACTTTCAGCTCATACAAGGAGAAGACTGATCAGAGATGCAGCCAAGAGGCCCATGATCACTCTGGATGAACTGCAGAGATCTACAGCTGAGGTGGGAGACTCTGTCCATAGGACAACAATCAGTCGTATACTGCACAAATCTGGCCTTTATGGAAGAGTGGCAAGAAGAAAGCCATTTCTTAAAGATATCCATAAAAAGTGTCGTTTAAAGTTTGCCACAAGCCACCTGGGAGACACACCAAACATGTGGAAGAAGGTGCTCTGGTCAGATGAAACCAAAATCGAACTTTTTGGCAACAATGCAAAACGTTATGTTTGGCGTAAAAGCAACACAGCTCATCACCCTGAACACACCATCCCCACTGTCAAACATGGTGGTGGCATCATCATGGTTTGGGCCTGCTTTTCTTCAGCAGGGACAGGGAAGATGGTTAAACTTGATGGGAAGATGGATGGAGCCAAATGCAGGACCATTCTGGAAGGAAACCTGATGGAGTCTGCAAAAGACCTGATACTGGGACGGAGATTTGTCTTCCAACAAGGCAATGATCCAAAACATAAAGCAAAATCTACAATGGAATGGTTCCCAAATAAACATATCCAGGTGTTAGAATGGCCAAGTCAAAGTCCAGACCTGAATCCAATCGAGAATCTGTGGAAAGAACTGAAAACTGCTGTTCACAAATGCTCTCCATCCAACCTCACTGAGCTCGAGCTGTTTTGCAAGGAGGCATGGGCAAAAATTTCAGTCTCTCGATGTGCAAAACTGATAGAGACATACCCCAAGTGACTTACAGCTGTAATCGCAGCAAAAGGTGGCGCTACCAAGTATTAACTTAAGGGGGCTGAATAATTTTGCACGCCCAATTTTTCAGTTTTTTATTTGTTAAAAAAGTTTGAAATATCCAATAAATTTTGTTCCACTTCATGATTGTGTCCCACTTGTTGTTGATTCTTCACAACAAATTACAGTTTTATATCTTTATGTTTGAAGCCTGAAATGTGGCAAAAGGTCGCAAAGTTCAAGGGGGCCGAATACTTTTGCAAGGCACTGTAATGTAGGCCAGTACAACACCACCTTTAACTATGACCTCAATAGTGAACATATAATCTGTAGATGCAGCCTCAAATACACTCCAATCTGCTGTCAAAGGAGGCCTGTAGCTCTGACTGTGCCTGCTTTGCCCATGTCTTCACAGTTTTAACCACAGGCTTCTTAGCTTTATGTTTTTGCCTATCGGCTGGAATGAGATGAACCATGCAGTGATCAGAGAGGCAGAGGGCTGCACGGGGGAGAGAGCAATAGCGTCTTTTATTACTGCCTAGCAGTGGTCCAAATGTGTTTTTGTCCCTGGTGGGACAACTGATGTGCTGTGTGTATTTGGTCAGTTTGTGGGAGAGGTTTGTTCTGTTAAAATCCACTGGAACAATGAGAGGGGAGTCAGGATGTTTCAGTTCCATGCCAGTTATCTGGTTGGCCGGATGCTGTAGCGTGCTGGCATGGGCCTGTGGTGATATACAATGTTGCACTGAGACAGAGGATGCTCTCTACTGTTGCTCTAGAAGTTTGCGAGCAACTGAGAGGAGAGACCAGCGCGTTTCAGCTTCCTGAAGAAGAAAAGCCTTTGCTGGGCTTTCTTTACCAGGTAGGATGTGTTCAGAGACCAGGTCGGGTCGGATGTGATGTGGATGCCCAGGAACTTGATGTTATCCACTTGCTCCACCACCTCCCCGTGTATGAGAAGAGGATCATATTTTGTCTTCCTGGACCTCCTATAATAGGATATAAGGATAATCACCTTTATTGGCCAAGCATGTTACACACAAGGAATTTGTTTTCGTTATAGAACCGATAGCAGCCATCTGCGGCGCCACCTCAACCGATGGCTCTAACCATCGGGGGCAACGGGGGGTTTCAGTGTCTTGCCCAAGGACACTTCAACACATGGACTGCCGGCACCGAGATTCCAACCTTCAACCTTCTGGTTAATTACATGTAGTTCACTCCTCCATCACTGCTGACCACACATTCTCAATCTAAATGGTTAATTTGTTGCCTGGAATAAATGCCAAAATATAATAAAATGGCATAATCTTCTTTTTCTTCTTCCGGCTATTCCCGTTAGGGGTCACCACAGCGAATCATCTATTTCCACCTAACTCTATCTTCGGCATCCTCTACTCTCACCCCAAGAGGTGAC